TAGCACTGATCACTGTATTGGGGTCACTGGGGAAGTCAGTGACACCAAGTCAGTTCCCCCCAATGTCAGAATGTCCGCCACTATAAGTCGATGATTGCCACCATTATTAGTGAAAAAAAAAATTACAGTATCTATACCGCCATTTATAAACGCTATAACTTTAACGTAAACCAATTAATTTACACGTATTGGGATTTTGTTTTAGCAGACATGTGGCAGAATACATTTTGGCATAAATTTATACTGCTACAGGGTGGCACGGATGCGCAAAATTGTGTATGTGTGTATGTGTGTGTGTGTGTGTGTGTGTGTGTGTGTGTGTGTGTGTGTGTGTGTGTGTGTGTGTGTGTGTGTGTGTGTGTGTGTATATATATATATATATATATATATATATATATATATATATATATATATACATACATTTCGCGCTCCCACGGTTTTTGCACTCCTCCCAGATAGCCTCAGATTGCCCGTCAGTACACCGGTAATTTAAACCCCTTGATTGCCAGGAACACGCTCATACACAGTAAACCTCTGTTGCTAGTATAGTGTCTGACCGGATTAATATCTTTGATCAGATCAGCACTGTAGCAGCGTTCACATTAGTATAGTGTCCCCAAAATCGCTGCGTTAGTGGGATCAGCCCAGGCACCTGCGTTTAGCCCCTATGCTTACCCCCCCCCCCCCTTTCTCCCCCCAACAAGTGTAGTGTCAGTAGGTCACTGTCACTTGATAAATTTCACACAAAACAGCTGTGTTCGCAGAATCAGGCCTGATCTGAGGTAAATTTTTTTGTAGCAGTTCAAGCAGTCCCTGACAGCCAGGCGTGGTGAGCCCCATAAGTGCAGTACAAGCTGGTGTGGTGGCAAGCACAAGTAGTGTTCCGCAGCCACCAAGAATTCGGACACAGGCCCATAGAGCCCATAGTATCCTTCCGGATGTGCTTGCAAATCCCTATTGGTAGCCCACAAATTCTGCAGCACCTGTACTTCCCCCATTCACTGCCCAACCCGGAATTCAGGTGGAAACAGCAAATTTAACTACTCCCCTTGATTTTTTGGAGCTGTTTTTCATGGAAGATCTGTATGCATTGATTGTGGATCAAAGCAATTTATATGCACAACAATTTATCGCCACCAACCCAAATTCAAACCATTCGCATAGAAACCCATTACGGTTTCCGAATTTAACAGGTTTTTTTTTGGGCCTAACCCTCAACATGGGCATTCCTAGAAAAAAAATTAATTGCGGTTGCATTGGTCCACAGACCCGATTCATGATATGCCCGTGTTCTCTGCTGCCATGGCCAGGCATAGATATGAGAGTATAATGCATTTTTTGCATTTCAACGACAATACAACTCTGTCGTCCTCGAGGTGACCCTGAATTTGACCGGCTCCACAAAATTCGGCCCCTCGGAAATCACCTTAACCAAAAATTTGCAGATGTCTGTACTCCCCAGCAAAACATCTGCGTTTATGAGTCCCTTATTAATTTTTCTGGCCGCCTTCCATTCAAGCAATTTCTACCCAACAAGCATACCAGATACAAGGTCAAGATGTATAAGATCTGTGAGAGGGCAACAGGCTATACATATAAGTTTCAGATTTACGAGGGAAAAGATAGTCACGTGGAGCCCCCCGGATGCCCAGAAACATTGGGGAGCAGTAGCAAGATAGTATGGGACTTGATGTCATCCTTTTTCCATATGGGGTACCACTACACGTGGCTACGTGGACAATTTTTTTTCAAGTGTGCCACTATTTAGACATTTGTACAATCTTGGAATTGGCGCATGTGGCACCGTGCGACCTATCACCTGGGCTTCCCCCAACGGCTTGTATATACCTGCTTAGAAAGGGGCAAAAAAGCATGCTTGAGAAATGAGGAAGTCATTCAGCTGGAGCACCGACTTGTTTATTCTGACAGCAACAGGGTCTTGCTCTCAGAATATATATATATATATATATATATATATATATATATATATATATGTGTATATATGTGTGTGTGTGTGTGTGTGTATGTATATATATATATATATATATATATATATATATATATATATATATATATATATAATATAATTTTTTATTTTCTTTTGCACAATAGAAGTGGGTGGATGCAGGGTGGTATATTCTAAGGGTGGGCATACCACATACTTTTTCTTGCGGAGATTTCTTTTTTTTTTTTTTTTTCATTCAGCTCACCAAAAAAAAAAAAAGAACATAGCATATACACACAGGCTTTTTTTGTTTTATAGCGTGAAAAAGAAAAAGCGCACAGGTGATCAAATACTCTATTTTTGTGAGAAAAAGGACATAAAATGTATTTATGTACAGCATTGCATGACCGCGCAATTGTCAGTAACTGTGCTGTATAGCAAAAAAAAGCGTAAATTGCAGCATCTATACTATAGTTTGTAGACGCTATAACTTTCACACAAAGCAATTAATATACACTTATTGGGATTTTTTTTACCAAAAACGTAGCAGAATACATTTTGGCCTTTTGGCAATTTATGACTAGCTTTGAATTTACTATATATTTTTTATAGCCGAAAATAAAAAAAATATAGTTTTTTTTTCAAAAATGTTGGTCTTTTTTTGTTTATAGCCAAAAAATAAAAAGCGCACAGGTGATCAAATACCACCAAAAGAAAGCTCTATTTGTGTGGAAAAAAAGGACATACATTTCGTTTGAGTATAGCATTGCATGACCGCGCAATTATCAGTTGAAATAGTGCAGTGCCAAATAGCAAAAAGAGGCCTGGTCAGGAAGGGGGTAAATCCTCAGGATGGCAAGTGGTTAAGGTTAGGGCAACATTATAAAAAAACAAAAAAACATTAGAGTGACTGTTAGGGTCTGTACAGTTTACATTACATTGGTACTTTTCACCTAGAACAGTTGTGCTGGTTCCCTGCACAAAAGATCTACGTAGTGGAATACTACTGGCAGTGTGGGTTAGATTAGAGTAATATTCATGTTCCAGGCATGATAATGGGATCTATACTGCTGTATCCAGTAGGTTTGAAAACTCTGATAAGTCATCCATAATATATTGTTCAAGAGTGTTGTAGACAGTGAATACAAAAGAAAATTTGGTGATCATTTGGGTTTTTTATGGTATAGTCATGTTTGGAAGTAAAAATATTTCAATTATTTTATGTATTCAGAATGTTCTCACTTTTGCAGGAATTTCTTTGCTATTTGGGGGTGTTCCCAACACTCATTGATTTCACTGGGAAAGCAGCCGCAACTTTGTAGTATCAATGTCTTTGTCTGCCACGTGGATGCCATCATTGCTAATGGGAGGGAGGGGGGGTTCATAAACTGGAGACACTTTTTTCCTCTTACACAATTGGGCCTGTTTATAAAGTAGGGAACTAAAGCCTGATTTTATATTTTTAAACTACCCCTTAGATCATAAAACGTTGGAGGAATCTGTAACACCCTGACCATTCATACGTGTAAGATAGGAAGAGGAGAGTTTATTTCTGCAGATTTTCCCCCACTGCTTTATACATCTTTTTGTTACCTTTCCCTAAGTAGCAATGACAAGTATAGGGCAGTGCCATGTGGTACAGAGGTTACAAGCATTGGTTCTGTAGCTAAGGGCTTTTAACTAGTTTGGAAAAAATTTTATGGCTAAGGGCTTTAAATATGTTATTACCAGGATGTAATTATACTCGCAGTGAACCAGAGTTTTACAAGATTTACGTTGCAATGTTTTTTTTGCTGTCTGTTTTGTAATAATGTCTCCTCTTATCCAGCAATGAGACTGCAACATTATAACTTTGTAGGAAGTTGGTGAGAGACTGAAGCTGGGGCTGATGTGTGGCAGACATTTGTAAACACAGCCTTAAAGTGTAACTAAAGTCTTTTTCAAATTTTGGATCGAGTGGAGAGGAATTACAACATCTGAGAGATTTATATTGCCTTCTGTGTCGCCGTTAGGAGGATTTGTCCTGTTTAGAGGGGAAATCGTCCAATAGGGACACTAGTTCTGGTGGCTATGGTGACAACATGGGTTCCCCCCCCCTTTGGAGGGATTGCCCCTTGATTCCTATTTTGGCTATGGGACAGAAATTGAAGGAAAATCTCCCTAATGGGACACAGATGGCAAAACACCTGATGGACGTTATACCTCTCCCTTATTGTATCCAAAATGACCAAAAAATGTATTTAGTTTTGCTATAAAGTAGTATTAAACCCTCCACCACATTGAGCACAATAAAATAAAAATTACCCAGGAAACTATACTTCCAATGCTGTTGGCGCCTGCTTTCTCAGTGTTGCTTCCCTGAACTTACAGTCTTCACAGGAAATAGTTAAAATGCACAGTGTAGTCTGAAGTCAGTCTGTTAGCTTGGAGAGGGGAGGGAGTTGTGTGTTTTTCTATCACACACAGGAAAGGGAGACAGAACTCTAGTCCCTCTGTGTAAGGGTGGCTCCATAGTATGCTGCAAGAGAAAGGAGCCGGAAACCTGGGTCAGCAGTCATTGCACCAGCTTGAATCGGAACATACTCATTGATTAAAAGATAAAGGAGCTGCATACTAAGAAGGTGATTAAAATAGCAGAAGAATTTGCTTGACAAACTGAGGGTTTAAAATCACTTTAAACTGTACAGGCACAAGGATTTGCATGATTTATGCATGGATTGCATGATATTTTTGACCCAGCATCTCAGTCCAAGAAGTAGATGCTGACCTTGGATAATGTCTGAATCAGGTGAAGGTTTTGTCACTTGGGGAGTACTGTGAATTCTGTGAAAGGTAATGGCATGCATGAAAACATGTAATATAGCAACTTTAAGGTGATTTAAGATTCTGATATAATGTGGCACATGGTTTTGTATGTAAAAGACAATCTTATCCTATGTATTTCTTTTAGTGCGATATGAAGATATCTACGCATTTTCTTATAACCCTAAAACAAAATGAGAAGGAACAAATTCTTGGATGGCAATGTATAAACCTGAAAGAAGAGTATCAGCGGATGGGGGTCCCTAATTCTTTCTGGCAGCTGTCTGATGTCAATAGAGACTACAAGGTAATTCCCTACTGCAGGTGTCCCAGTCACCTTAGTGTCTGCTGAATCAAGCAAACCAACCAAAATGTACTTTGTGGGTGGCCCTGTTGGCACCCCTCCACCCCACATTGCTTGGTTGAAAAATCTATGGAGTTGGGTGGACCCTATCAGATGCAGCTATTGTTTAGGTATTCGGACAGCACTGGTTGTCAGAATGCATTAACCAGCACTGCAGATTTGTCTTATTAGTGTATGGCCAACTTTAGGAAGAACCCGCTGACCTAAATACAGTCCTTTCTTTCCTTTCTTTCCTTCCTTTCTTTCTTTCCTTCCTTTCCTTTCTTTCCTTTCTTTCCTTTCCTTTCTTCCTTTCTTTCTTTCTTTCTTTCCTTTCCTTTTTTCTTTTTTTCTTTTCTTTTCTTTTTCTTTTTTTTTCTTTCTTCTCTCTCTCTCTCTCTCTCTCCCCCCCTCTCCCCATTTGGGACACTTTCTACCTAACTTCCTGCCCTGCTGCTGGCATTGTCATTAGGACAGGAAATGAGCAGATATCTCTTTAACAGCAACACAATGGCAAGTAAACCTCTTTTTATTATTAGTCTGAGAGAAGGCTAGATCCTACAGTTAGCTTTTTATTGTTACCTGTTTCCACATTGGAGATTTTCCTTTACAATCAAGCTCACCAGGAAGGTAAATTTTCCTAAATGGACACAAAGTAAAAATACAGTGGTTCCCAACCATTCCCTACCCTAACCAAACCTTCTGTCTTTCAGGTGTGTGAGACATATCCACGAGAACTGTATGTGCCAATTACAGCAAGTAAGCCAATCATTGTGGGGAGCTCAAAGTTTAGAAGTAAAGGGAGATTCCCAGTGCTGTCATATTATCACCAGGAGACACAGGTAACAATCTCCTGTCATTTTCTATATGAAGCACATAATTTACTTGACAGAATATAAATAAGCTCTGTGAATCTGAATTGAGATATTAAGATGAATTGTCTTCCTTACAATAAACAATGCCACATATTGGAACCTGCCTGGAGATGATCAGGGCTTACACATCAAGAAAGTAATGGTCATGAACTAAGAAATCTATCACTTACAGGTTTTAACTACCACCATTGTTAAATTTTGTTTCCCTCTACTCTCCACCTCAGACATTTTATTGTTAAGTTTATGATGAGAACTATGCAGAGAAAAGGATGCAGGAGAACTATGCAGAGAAGAGGATGCAGGAGATTCAGAGGGGAGTCACAAGGCTCTTTTATTGATCAGGAATCTTGAAACTCCCTTCCTTTTCTCTTGTGTGGTGATCTGCTCAGTTGAAAAGTATCTCTGCATATAAAGCAGACCACATGCTGTACAACACATTCTCTTTTTTACTAAAATAATCACATGACACAAGATGCGGAGCTCATACAAAAACGTGTCATTCGTGTGTGCCTAGAGCAACATGATATCTAAGTACAGCCCTCAACATATGATGATCATCACACACACATCAATATTCTGCCAATTTCAAACACCTATAACAAGCTTTCAGTTGCAGAAGCAATTTATAAGGTCATTCTCCCACCAACACTTTATTCTTATCTAAATGGCAGGAATGGCGCTAGGTTAAGTTGATCTGTTTTACAATGCTTGTGATCAAAAACTGGATGATAGAGGTTGAAATTGTTGGAAAGCTGTTTTTATGATTCTAATAAGTGTCGCGGAACAATGAATTGTTGGTCTCTAACATCTTTCTATGTATGGTCCACAGTCTGTTCATCGTATATTAGATTGAATCAAGCCCCAACAATGTGACGTTTCCACTAGAGATGGACAAATTTCTTGGTGTCTGTTGTTTCTTGTAGTAGATCTGACTGTTTATGATTACCATAGCTCAGCATTGTATGTACAATTAAAATAATTTCCTGTTTCTTTCTTGCTTTAGGCTGCTATTTGCAGGTGCAGTCAGCCTTTGTCTGGCTTTAGTGCGAGATGTCTGGAGGACGAACACATGCTGCAGTCTGTTAGTAAAGCCAATCCTGGGTGTAGGTCCATGTATGTCATGGATACCAGGCCTAAGGTATGTACACAAGGTGTTGTATATGTAATTATTATTATTATTATACAGTATTTTTATAGCGCCAAAAGGTTTGCTCATCACTGTACATTATAGTGGGGGACAGAACATAAGACAATACAGTAACAAAACAATACACGAGGGGTTCGAGGGCCCTACTCTTTCGAGCTTACAATCTAGGAGGGAGGGGGGATAGTGGTACAGGAGGAAGTAGGAGTGGAGGGTCGGGGTTAAGTGAGGGAGGGTGGGGGTAGGCTTCCCTGAAGAGATGGGTTTTCAGGGTGTGCCTAAATGTGAGGAGGGTAGGTGACAGTCTGATGGATTTGGGTAGTGAGTTCCAGAGGATGGGGGAAGTCCTGGAGAAGTCCTGCAATTGGGCGTGGGAGGAGACCAGGGAGCTAGAAAGTAGGAGGTCTTGTGAGGAGCGAAGAGTACGGGTTGGGCGGTATTTGGGTATCAGGTCGGTGAGGTAGTTTGGGGAAGCGTTGTGAATGGCTTTGTATGTCAGTGTTAGTATTTTGAATTTAATGCGTTGGGCAATCGGACGCCAGTGGAGGGAATGACAGAGGGGGGTGGCAGAAGAGGAGCGGTTGGTAAGGTGGATGAGTCTGGCCACAGAGTTCAGAATAGACTGAAGTGGGGATAGCCTGTGTTGGGGTAGGCCGGTGAGAAGGGAGTTGCAGTAGTCCAGGCGTGAGATAATGAGGGAGTGAACGAGTTGTTTAGTAGTGTCTGGGGTTAGGGAAGTACATATTTTGGAGATGTTGCGGAGGTGGAGCCTGCATGAGTTTGCCAACGATTGGACATGGGGTTGGAAGAACAGGTTTGAGTCTAGAGTGACACCTAGGACTTTGGCTTGCGGGGTGGGACTGATGGTGGCGTTGTTGGTCGTGATGGAGAGGATTGGGGGGGGGGGGGCGCGGGCTGGGGGGAAAATTAGGAGCTCGGTTTTGGAAAGGTTCAGTTTGAGGAAATGGAGCGACATCCAGTCTGATATGTCGTTCAGTAGGTGGGCGATACGGGCGGAGACTGAAGGGATGAGGTGGGGGTGGAGAGGTAAATTTGCATGTCATCGGCGTAGAGGTGATAGTTGAAAACGTGGGAGTGTATCAATTTGCCGAGGGAGGAGGTGTAGATGAGAAGAGAAGGGGTCCGAGGACAGAGCCTTGGGGGACCCCAACAGAGAGGGGGAGGTGGTAGCGTTATAGGTAACGCTGAAGGAGCGTTGGGATAGATAAGAGGAGAGCCAGGAGAGAGCGGAGTCTCTGATGCCAAGGGAGTGCAGTTTATTAGGGAGGAGGGGGTGGTCAACTGTGTCGAAGGCCGCGGAAAGGTCTAGGAGTAGAAGGACTGAGCAGTGGCCATTAGCTTTGGCGGTTAGCAGGTCATTAGTGATTTTGAGTAGGGCGGTTTCGGTGGAGTGTAGGGGACGGAAGCCAGACTGTAGTGGATCGAGGAGGTTGTTGTCGTTGAGGTGAGAGCTTAGGCGGTTGTAGACTAAGTGCTCAAGGAGTTTGGATGTAAATGGCAGCAGGGAGATGGGTCTAAGGTTGTTCAGGTCGGTGGGGTCCAGGGAGGGTTTTTTGAGTATGGGGGTGATGTGCGCGTGCTTTAGGGGGGAGGGGAGGGGAATGCGCCAGTAGAGAGGGAGAGATTGAAGATGTGGGTGAGGGAGCGTAGGATGGAGGAGGAGGGTGACCGGAGGAGTTGTGTGGGGACAGGGTCAAGGGGGCAAGTGGTGAGGCGGGCTTCTGAGAAGACCTTAGTGACCTCCTCAGTGGTAGCAAGGCTGAAGGAGCGGAGTGTTGGGGAGGTTATAGTGTGCGGGGTGTTAGGTGTGGTGGGGGGCAGGGCAGTTGCGATTTCAAGGGTTAGTTCACCTTGTCTGAAAAAAAATGAAAAGTTAATATACACGCTCCCTACTTCAACCAGTCACTGCTGTCCTTACCTCTGTGGGTGATGAGCTGTTACTGCCCACGCTGCCGGTGTAGCAGTCCGGATATTTGAAATCCCCACTCTTCTTCCCTGTCTTTCTGCAGGGCTTTCAAGATGGATCAGAGCGCTTCTCTGTGCCAGCGCTGACCAATAAGAATCTCTCTGATCCATCCCAGAAACCCCTGCTGAAAAAGAACAAGGATTTCAGATTCCTGGATGACTGATCTAGCTGTGCGAGGGCTGACAGCTCATCACCCATGGAGGTAAATGTAACAAGCTTCATTTTCTGAAGTGGTGCACTTACACATTAAATGCTGATTCACACATGTGCAGTGTGGATTGAAGCTATGTTTTCACAGCTAATTGATAAATTATTTGTTCAGTGGATCAGGTCAGGTTTAGATCAGGTTCAGGTGAAGATTTTATCCTGTTCAGAAATGTTGACATGTACGGTTTAGAAATGGTTCCCATAGAAGTCAATAGCCTGTAATCTGCACCTGAACCGGACCACACTGCTCAGAAATCAGACAGGACTCTTTTTTTCAATCCGCACTGAATGTGCACTGCCAGTGCACAGGGCATATGTGACCCGGCACCATAGGAAGGAGTGTTGTTTCACATGTCATGTGAATTCGATGTGGTCAAACCACATCCAATCTGTATATAGGTGAACTGGCACTAATTTTATATCAGGTACTACTTTTGTTGTAAAATACAATATTGGCCCACAATGGCATCAGAGCCTCCTTACTGGTACTCTAATATGAAAGCAAGCCATACTGACCATTAATGGGAGTTAAGATTTGCATATAATTTCAGCTGCCTGTGTCATTTAAAGCTGAACTCAAACCAGGTTCATAAAACATCAGTTATATTATTAAAAATAATTACATTTATTTTTAAAGTCAAAGTCCACCTTTTGAAAAAAATGTAATAAATACAGCAACGATAAAATACAAAAAAATTTGAATTTATAGAGTTTTTACATTCAGGCCTGCAGAGCATTACAAAGAAAAAACAAATAAAGAAGGAGGGCCGTTTGGTAGGGGGCTATTGTATATAACCATGCTTTATGTTGCACCCTAAATATGGGTGTAACATGCAACATGGTCTAAAATATAGACTATGCAATTGGTCTAAGTAATCTTAGATTGTACACCCCTTGAGGGTTAGGGATTGATGTGAATGTACAATATATATGTATATAGGGATGCGTAAATTGACGGCGCTATATAGTACCTGAAATAACTAAATAAACTATATTTGATTCCCTATCAGCCTCTCTGTATAGCAGCCTCAGGTAATTCCCTGTATAGCAGCACTGTAATTCCTCTTTATAACAAACTGGTAGAAGATGGGGTCAATCAGGTATACTATATGCATGTGTGATGACAATGAACATGCCGACTGGTGAAGAATGCAGAGTGGCAAAGGGGGGGTTGATGCTACTTTTATCACTTTCAAGTCACATGCTCTGTGCAGGGAGGTGACCTAGTGTTATCAATCACCATAAATCAGGTCAACAGGTTGGCTGTACTGTCTAGCAAGCTGTTTAAATTTCATAACTGGATAGACAGAAGTAAGAATCTTTTAGGAGGCAAGATAGTCCTCTTATGTGTACTTCAGCTGTGTATTCATCTGTTTATGGAGTTCTCTCCCAGCACTGAAGGCTAAACTATCAAGCAAAAATTGTAACGCCCATTGTTTTTCCTATACAGCATCTTTTGAAATATTGTTATGCTGGCCTTTTACAGCTCTACCATGTTCTCAGAACTGTTGATTGTTTCAGTAAATGTTTGGTCAAGTAAGTTTTTAAAACAATTCAACTTGTGTGTCATTATTATTTTGCAGCTGAATGCCATGGCAAACAGAGCGGCAGGCAGGGGTATGAGAATGCAGATAATTACTCCAACATTAAATTTCAGTTTGTTGGAATTGAGAATATTCATGTAATGAGATCAAGTCTGCAGAAACTCTTGGAAGGTAAGGGACTTCTCAAAACTACTTTTCTTCTGTTACATTGAATATATTTTGTGTTATTACATATACAGTAGTTCACTCATAAAAGTAATATCAAGATCTACCATATATACCTAAAATGCCATGGCCCCTGTCGCATGCTGTTTTGGCAGGAACTATCACAACTGTTTCCTCCTTTTAATCCTTGTAAAGATTACCAATATGGTGACAGAAAAATGTACCACATTTTTATATAATTTCAGTGTTTACATCGAAGAATTCTACTTCAACTAAGTATATTAGACATTCTGTAAAGGGCAGAGTATTAAAAAGGCAGACTATCCCATATAAAAGAAACTCATATTAGTTTAGGGGATGGAGATGCTGTACAACGAGTCAATTAGTTGTGCCGCACTACAGAGCATGCTGATTGGAGGAGCTCATCAGTCTGCTGCTTATCCTTTCATTGTTCAGTCACAGGATGGGAAGGGGCAACACTTGTAAGTCTTTCTAAACTTCAACATAGAAAAATCTATTATCTTGCTCTGTCAGACTGAGCTGTGCTGTGTAGCAGAGCAGTGTACATCTCAGTACTGGATCTGCACATACAAATCCTCCAGCAGGTAAAACAGCTGTTTCTATCTATCTATCTATCTATATATATATATATATATATATATATATATATATATATTTTACAGTCAGGTCCATTTTGGGACATCGACACAATTCTTTTTTTGGCTCTATACACCAGCACAATGGATTTGAAATGAAACGAACAAGATGTGCTTTAACTGCAGAGCTTTAATTTGAGGGTATTTACATCCAAATCAGGTGCACGGTGTACGTTTTTTTTTTTTTTTTTGCATCTGTGTATTAAGCGGTTTGCTTGGAGTTCAGCTCCAATGCAGTTGTACCTCACGTTGGTGTTCGTTATTTTGCAACAAGATATTTTACAAAGACCAGTCTGGGTAGCCAAAAACGTTCAATGACTGGGCTTTTGTTGAAACATCTACAAGGTCAAGCAAATATACAGGGCCATTAAACAGAGGGGAGAATCAGAACACATGTTGTAATATAGTTGTCCCTTTTATGTAGCTGGAGTTTAGGAAAAATATCAAAAAGAACAGCACCTAAACGAGAAAACAAGAAAAGCAACTTTGTATATACAGTGCAATGTAATGAGGAATGCAAAAACCTGTACATTGGAGATAAAGACAACCTCTCATCAAAAAAAATGGCATAGGAGGGCAACTTCTACAGGTCAAGACCAGCAGTTTTCCTAAACCTTATGGAAAATGGATATTCTTTTGAGGACAATAAGGTGCACATTTTTGCCATCTACAACAATCTAAAACACCCATCACTGAACAGGGATGAGGACCTTTTGACACCTTTTGTCTTTCACATAGAAATGTTAAAACTGCATTATATCCTGGTGATCTGACCACATTTCTGACCTTCTGCCATGCAAGTCGAAGGATTAAAGTGGAACTTCACTCTCGCAATTCAACATTGTATTTTTGAATCCTTCTGCTGCTAGCATTAGTAAATAGATAGGAAAGTATATCATATTTACTTGTTTTAAACTGTTTTTTTACATTTATTATTATACAGGATTTATATAGCTCCAACAGTTTGCTCAGAGCTTTACAATATAACGAGAGACAATACAGCAACAATACAGTTCAATACAAGAGGGTTAGGAGGGCCCTGCTCCTTGGAGCTTACAATTATTATTATTATTATTATACAAGATTTTATATAGCTCCAACAGTTTGCTCAGTGGTTTACAATATAACAAGAGACAATACAGCAACAATACAGTTCAGTACAAGAGCTTACAATCTAAAGATTTATTTAATTACTTTCTTGTTTCCAGGCCTAGGCTAATGATATCATACATATTACGAGTTTTCAGGAGAGGAGGGAGGGATTTTTCTCAGCTAAGCACACCCTCCTACCTACATGCCTGAGCAAAGGGCAAATGGATTCCAGGAAGCAATTGCTGCATGAATCATCTGCCCTTACTCAAGATGGCCACGGCCAGAAATGCTTTGGAGGTGTTTTTCAAAGTGATTTCTGAACAGAATAAAGCATGGAGACATGGATGAATTGGCAAGTTTGCTTTGAATATTAAAAATGAATTAAATAGCACTTTTGGTTTTGTGGTGCTCAGATGCAATGTAGTTCCACATTAACATTTATGATGCCTTCTGTTACTAGAATAAGGCGGTTCTACAATTTCTACACCTCCCATTCTGTCCTTCAACAATAACATCTGCACTTTCCATGGTGAATGGATTTTCCATGTCCTTTCATTACTTTATTATGCTTGTGCTTTTCATTTACAACATTGGTTGCTAGGATGAAGGCCAACAAAGCCTAATGGGGAACTCTCAGAGACTAGTTTCCTATCAGGTTCTCTTTGCCTGTGATTGACAGCAGATAGCAGTGGGCAGATCTACTGCAGCTTTGGAATCTGCCATTGCCATCCATCTCAGAGTTCCCCATCAGGCTCTGCCCACTTATCAACTGCACCAGTTGGGTGGGCAGGGTCTGATGGGGAATACCGATTCTTGTTCCCCTTTGGGTCCACCTTGCCTGTGATTGACAGCACATGGCAGTAGGTGGATTCTAAAGCCATTGCTGAAGTGAATAATGTCTCTGGATCAACCTACTGCTATCTGCTGTCAGCCCCCCTGATGGGGAACTAGGGGTCTACGACACCCTTTGTAAATTTTTCCAAATGTGCTTGCAGTCTGTAAATGTAGCCCTTTTTTTCTTGTAAAATAAAAACTACATTTGGGCTGCACTGTGAGCTACCCCTTAAGAAGTTCATAAAAAAAATGTGTATTCTTTCATTATGAGATTATAAAAGTACTTAAAGAGCAAGGAAAATAATAAATGAAATTCATAAAATATGTACCCACATTCTTTTCATGCCCATAAAGTTTTACAACCGAAGAAACCAAATAGTCCTAAAGCTTGAAGAGCTATATCTATTGGGTGATTGCAACTTCCTGCTGTTTTTGTTTTCTGCATTTCATGACAAAATTGTAAAAATGCCTTTACATAAACAAATATATTGGAAAAGAATGATTGTCATGGTGATACTTTCCAGCTTGTAATATTGCTAACTCTAAGCCTCTACAGTATTTATTTGCAAGCCATGTTGTATCCAGTAGAGGTCAGTGTATACCTAGATAGTCTTGGCTGAGACTTATTAGACAGAAAACGTTTGGGTGTGTTAAGAACTAAAGCTGGACTCCAAAAATTTTATTTTTGAAAAAGTAATTTCTTACCTTTTAGCAATATCTTTTTGTTTTTCCTTTTAAATAAATTTGTATTGAAACATTTTCCAAGTATACATTGTAACCGCTGTCATATGTACAAACAGATACATGCAATCAATAGCTTACAAGCCAAGGCGGTTGTACATCATACATAAAAACTGTAACAAAGACAAAGCTTATGGCGTATGAAGATGGTCCATTGACCATGTTGCACCAAAGGCAGAACAGCATAGTGTAACAACAGAAAAACCATATTCCCTGATGGAGGAATCAGGCGTTGGTGCATGAGATATCAATGTATAACATGCACTATTCAGAAAACAAAAAAGTACATAAGAACAAAACATAAATCATCCCTATGGAAGAGCCTAGGCAATAACAAGGAAAAGCGAAAGGTAGAGAGAGAAAAGTGGGAGGGGCATCAAGGGCACTCGAGCCTGGAGCATCTTTTTTGTTTTTCTATACAAATATTCATCTACTGATACAGTGGGGCAAAAAAGTATTTAGTCAGCCACCAATTGTGCAAGTTCTCCCACTTAAAAAGATGAGAGAGGCCTATAATTGGCATCATAGGTAGACCTCAACTATGAGAGACAAAATGAGAAAAAAAAATCCAGACAATCACATTGGCTGATTTGGAAATAAGTTATTTGAAAATTATGGTGGAAAATAAGTATTTGGTCAATATCAAAAGTTCATATCAATACTTTGTTATATATCCTTTGTTGGCAATGACAGAGGTCAAACGTTTCCTGTAAGTCTTCACAAGGTTGGCACACACTGTTGCTGGTATGTTGGCCCATTCCTCCATGCAGATCTCCTCTAGAGCAGTGATGTTTTGGGGCTGTCGCTGGGCAACACGGACTTTCAACTCCCTCCAAATGTTTTCTATGGGGTTGAGATCTGGAGACTGGCTAGGCCACTCCAGGACCTTGAAATGCTTCTTACGAAGCCACTCCTTCGTTGCCCGGGCGGTATGTTTGGGATCATTGTCATGTTGGAAGACCCAGACACGTTTCATCTTCAATGCCCTCGCTGATGGAAGGAGGTTTGCACTCAAAATCTCACGACACATGGCCCCATTCATTCTGTCCTGTACATGGATCAGTCGTCCTGGTCCCTTTGCGGAGAAACAGCCCCAAAACATGATGTTGCCACCCCTATGCTTCACAGTAGGTGTGGTGTTCTTTGGATGCAACTCAGCATTCTCTCTCCTCCAAACACGACGAGTTGTGTTTCTACCAAACAGTTCTATTTTGGCTTCATCTGACCATATGACATTCTCCCAATCCTCTTCTGGATCATCCAAATGCTCTCTAGCAAAGTTCAGATGGGCCCGGACATGTACTGGCTTAAGCAGGGGGACACGTCTGGCACTGCAGGATCTGAGTCCCTGGCGGCGTAGTGTGTTAATGATGGTAGCCTTTGTTATGTTGGTCCCAGCTCTCTGCAGGTCGTTCACTAGGTCCCCCCGAGTGGTCCTGGGATTTTTTGCTCACCCTTCTTGTGATCATTTTGACCCCATGGGGTGAGATCTTGCGTGGAGCCCCAGATCGAGGGAGATTATCAGTGGTCTTGTATGTCTTCCATTTTCTAATTATTGCTCCCACAGTTGATTTGTTCACACCAAGCTGCTTGCCAATTGCAGATTCAGTCTTCCCAGCCTGGCGCAGGTCTACAATTTTGTTTCTGGTGTCCTTCGACAGCTCTTTGGTCTTCACCATAGTG